CTGTAGATTGTGGTGCACTGGGGTATCATGCTCAAGGCTTGGGTGGTCTTGATGAAAGTCTCTGGTTCCTGTATTATAATGGGTACCTTTGACCTGAAAAATCTCTAGAAGCATATTGATATTTAGCAGACGGGCCTTTTTAGATGGATGAGGCCCGCTACAGTTCAAACATTTATGTAAATAATGGCACTGCTGTTTCACACAAACCCGATAATTGTTATAGTCATAGCATTTACACCCCCCCCCCCCACCCCGGAAGGTTTTGCACCGGATCAATAAACGATGGTACCATGTACAGGAGCTAAAGTTCCTGATCAAATATTGATGTGACACTTGAATTTCTTGCAATTCTCATTTGAAATTGACCATTTTAAAAATGCCACCTTGTATCTGTTAGCCTACCTGCTAGCCCCTACACAAACAGTGTGGATTAAGTAAACAAGCCTAAAAAGACATTCTGTAGGGTGTACTGTGGCATATACTGAAGAGAAAATAAAAGATGCATCAGTCCACTGCTGTACATTAATTTTAACTGTAACCCATTTCGGTTCAATTAGGTGAGAATGGTAGTGTTTGCTTATCAACCATCAGGACCGGATTGGACAGTAGCTGACCTAACTCAATGAATTGTCCCTCTACATTTTATGTTTGATTTATTCTGTAGCATTTTCCCCCAAACTACGGCATATACCATCGATCTCATTACCTGTTGTATCAACATGATTGGCTGTCTTGCATTGAAATCAGATTCATTGCTGGAACTAGTGGAAAAAGTAACCACACTTGTAGTAACCATGGTAACAATAATCGTCTGTACAGGCCCGCCGAGGGTATGTTTTCCTCTGACGAAACTTCTGTAGATTTGACTGATCCCATTTTTTGGTTTAGGCCCGCTCGTAGATGCTGATTTCCGCTTCGCCGGCTTGGCAGCGGGTTTAACTCTAGGCATTTTCTGAAACTACGGACTTTGGAATAAGAAATACAATATAGAAATAGGCCTAATAGTAAAGTTATTATTATTATTTTTAATATTGACTCAGCGTTACGACTTCGATAACTTTTGTAAATAAAATTATTATTATTATTTGCTCAATTATTGACTAAGCGTTACGATTTTTCTGTTTTATATTAAGCATGTGGTTTTTCAAAATCGAAAAACATCCGAAAAGTCATGGACGTAATGATGCAAATACACACGAAAATAAAGATTGCTAGAAACATTCTCCTTAAATTTCATGCATAGCATGAATTTTTTAACACAATATAAAATAAATAAACAAATTTTTATCTTGAGATGCAGGATATGTCTGCTCCCCTTCATTCTCTAACGGAAAAGGAAGTCCTAAGGATTCGACTAAAATACCAAAAGTTGAAAGAACGGGGAAATACTAATGACCCAATAACCCCGAATATGGGCCTCTCTAATAACGCGATTTAATTTTCAGCAATTAAATCGAATTATTTAAAATTTACTTTAAACTTCCAACTTTCAAACGTTTTAGATTTTTAGAAATTTAGAACTTTTATTCAAACACTCAACTTTTAAATAACCAAAACACTATTGTACATTTTGAGTTTTTAAAAGTTTGCTTCAAAAATCCAAAAAATCAGATTCCATACCTGGTTTAAATTTTGGATATCAAAAGTAAAATTCTAAAAACTCAAAGTGTTTAGGCTATTTGAAATTAGACATTTGAATAAAAATTCTAAATTTCGAAAAATTTTAAACGTTTCAAAGTTGGATTTTAGAAGTTAAAAGCTAATTCCAAATAACCAAACGACGAAAAATATTTCATTTCCGAACTTTAGATTGTTTAGTGTAAACATTCTGAACAAACAGTAGACTAAAGACTCAAACATTTGAATTACAACATTTGTTTTTGGAAATTTGAATTTTTAACATTTTAGGTAAAAATCTAAATTATTAAAATTCTAAAACCTGTTTGGAAATTTCAAAATTTAGATTTTTGAACTAAAATATTAAATTTCAATATACTAAATCAGTTTGAGCTTTTGAAATTTAGATTTTTCAACTATTATATTAACATTATAAAACTCTAAGTCATTTTAGAAATTTGAATTTTTAAGTGTTACACGGACCGGAAATAACACTTGGGTCATGTGTAAACAAGTAAAATGAATACCTTTCACCGCATGATTTTAAATTTTTTATTCAAATTTGCTCAAAAATGGAAGTGAAAAATATTCTTATAGATTAACTAGAGGTACTGTGAGCGATGAGCTCACTAAATGATACCCCCGCCTTCCATATGGTTATAACTGGTTAAAAAGTCCATGTTTTCCTGTGGCCGGGAAACTCAAAATATGTGTCAGATCAAAACGTAAAATACAAGGTGCACAATGGCAATATGTAATAAAGATTCTGTGAAAGTTTCATTAAATTTCATTTAGTGGTATTAGAGGAGTTGCGGATAAGATGTGGGTACCCCAAAGCGTAACAGACGGACGGACGGACGGACAGACAGAAGGACGGAGGGAATTAACGGTTACTATATACCCTCCCCCTTTTCAAGCGGGGGGTATAATAAGAATGGTTTCAGAAGACTTTTTAACATCAAAGAAAGTTTACAATTTCTTTATATTCTAGATAGTTACTATTTGCCCCATTTGCCCCATTTACAATGAAATTAGGCAAAAAAATGTACACCAACCCAGGCATCCATTTTTTTGGATATGTATAAGAAGTTATGTAAAATAATCTCTGTACCATAAAAAGTGCTGCTAGAATCCTACTCTCCTATCAGAGAAATAATTATGAAATACTTTCGGGTGAAACCTTGACAATTTTTTTTTACATTTAGTACAAAGAAAGAAAAACTTATCAATTCCCGTTAGCCATACATTGTAGCAGCACTTTCCAAAAACAAAAAAATAAGAACTTTTGATAGACATAAAAATTATGTTTCAAAGTATGCGTCATAGTGTTGATCTTTTGAATCTTTTTTGTTACGAACGAAAGAGGAAAGGCTTATCGGGAAATATTTCCATTTCCAATTGTTTTCTCTATGATAAACACTACAAAAGTGAATCTTGTTAATTTCATCGTAATACCCTGTGGTATGTATATTTCTCTATTACTGAAAGGTCAAGTGTCAACCTGCATGTAAATCACTGGCCTATAAATATATTAAAGAAAAAATAGATGTTTTGTTTAATTGTTTACTAGGTAATTTGATATGATATATCTTTTTAACAAACAGAATAAATAATGAATTATCTTCGGCTCGAAAGCAAGTCACTAGCGCACCGCTGTCCACTATCACCGAGACCTCGCGAGACCACTTCCGTAAACATGAGAACCAGCCACGTGGAGAAATTGACATTGCCACGTGGATCTGCACGTACTCCATCATCTGATTCAGACATCGTCCCTCAGTCATTACCATCCGACTTCTTAAGCAACTCAACTTCTTCTGTTATTTTAACATCAATACAAATCGGTTTCTTAACCATGCTGACCAACTCCCGTTTCATCAGCTGCAACAATTCTTTCAATATGGCGGCGGAGAAGTGACATAGTGCATACATATATTCGTGCTTCCGACAACCTAAATCTAGGTCACATATACAATTAAAGTGAACAAGATTACTTTGATCATAATGTAAAATTCTTTAGTTGTTTATTTTATAAATGTTGATATTTGACTACAGTAACTTAATAATCAATACATTTGTTTCGTGTTTTTTTGGGACTATTTCTTTATAGTAAAATTTGACGTTATGGGGCCTTGTGCATTTCAAATCTACTCAATTAGAGGGTATTTCGATTTATTTTAAGATGGTTATTTCAAGTAAAAATGGAAATATAAGGAATCACTGTCTAGTTTTGAGGGTATGCCAGGGACATCAACAATAGTGGGAAACATGGAATAATTTTAGCATACATGTAACGGGCTTCGTCCGTTATGCAAATTATCCCATGTTTCCCACTATTGTTGACGAAATTGTAGGAATATTTAAACCTACTTTATTCATAACCTTTATTTCCGCCTGAATCACATATGATATTCATGCTAAATGCTTTTAAACTCCGATTTTTTGTGTCTGTTAACATGAATACTCGTTATGTTTCACTTTCACTAATACTAATGTTAATACTGATCAACAATTATGACGTCACGGGTTTGTTATTTAACCCCCTTGACAAAAGCATATAAATTCATACAACCTAGAAACGACAAAAGTGTGTTTATATGAAGCTGGATATTTTAATTCATTTCTACGACCTCAAATCAATTTTTAAATATGGATTTTAAGAGATTTTATCTCTTAAGACAAAGTTCATTTCAATAGGCTTACTATGACGTCATATTGTATAGGCATTATGCAAGCAGAATATCTGGTTGTAACCTTCACATACCGGCGAATATTGTACATGTACATTATTATACAGCCATATTGCCAATTTACCTAAGTATTAAAAACAAAATTATAATTCGTGAAAGTGCAATGACGTGTCAATTAAACTCGACTAGAAATTCAAAGTTTCAATAATTTTGAAATAAAATATGATTTTTATTATGTTTTCTTTTGAAATGCTATTGCAATATATAAGTCGAATGGGTAATATCATACAGAAAATTTGGCAAAATATTAACTTAAAATATGTGTCGATGCATCTTTAAAAAAGCTGATTATTTGGTATTTTAATTTTATAAAAATAGAAGTGTTTCGGGTCCAGTGTCTGTAATTTATGACCTCCTTAAAATATCTGTATTGTTTAAGAAGACTTACAAGATTACTCATTGCCCGGGGTCTTTACCTTTCTGGGATGTGCACCTTTTTTCCTTTTATTCTATTTACTTTCAGGTGTTTTACTTTATATATGTTAATTATGATACTACATGTACTTGAATTAAAGTATTAAAATATGGCGCCTAGACGATCATAGAAAAAGCAACAAACTTGGGTTTAAAAAAAATATATTTTCACGTTGTAAAACATGACTCAGACTTTCTTTAAGTTTTTTTTTTAAACAGGTGTTTGGACTTAATGAAGGTAAATACCCAGAATCATTGCCAACGGTAAACGAAGTTCCAGATTGTCCTAGAAATAAGGAAGATTGGCAAGTAGCTGCAGAAGGAAAGCACTCTGACCAAATAAAAAATATTGACAACACTCCGTTTGTTTATCACTGTCTGATAAATGCATGGGCAAATGCAACTATCGAAGTTTGTGCTCCAACGTGGTATATATCGGGTGAGTTATTGTCCCCCGCTTGAAAGATGTGGGATATTAATTTGGGTCTGTCCGTCCGTCCCTCATTCTGTCTGTCTGAACGCTTTCGTTTCCACACGATATCTCGAGAACCCTTTGAGCTTTCGCAATGAAATTTTGCATAGCTACTCCCTGTGGACTAATGGAGTTTTATGAAGAGACTTACTTTTACAATCGACGACTGGCTTTTACAATTTAAACAGAGACAAACTTCATTTACTAAAATGTTAAAGTCAGCTGTCGAATGTAAAAGTAAGTCTCTTCATAAAACTCCACTAAGAACCCTATTGATTTTGAGGTCAAAAGGTCAAAGGCCAAGGTCATTAATTTGCAGATTCTGTCTGTTAAAACACTTTCGTTTCCGCACGATATCTCGAGAATTCTTTGAGCTTTTGCAATGACATCTAACATAACAACTCCCTGTGGCCTGTGGCAGACTTAATATTCTTATTACATCCATTAGAACTCTTTAATAAAGCTTAAATTAGACACCATGCATTGTGTAAAATTTTGACAATATCGAACGTAAATAAATATACTTGTATGTGACTTCATCTTTGCATATTATTTTCACCAGTTGAAAGCGGTTCCGTGGTGTAGTGGTATGTCTCTCGCTTTACATGTGATAGCTCCCGGGCTCGATTCCCGAGCGATCCATTTTCTTTTTTTCCCTCCGAAATACTTTTTTTTATTAAATGATACTATTCAGCATGTTAAATGAAAAAAAAAAAAATTGAGGTCTAGCTTGTACAAGCTCATAAAATTATCATTACAGTGTGATACATATATAATATAAAAAAAGAGTCTTCTATACACATAATTAAGAATAAGCAATCAAATCTTTATATCAATATTGACATATTTTCTTTGCTTCAGTATACATGTATACATTAAATAATTCTACAAATTCAGTCAGGAGGATCAGACCCCCCCCCCCCTCCCCGAACTGCGCATGGTTTACTTTTTCCCTAAGCGGGGGACACATATTCTCTGAATTAGCTTGTTTAAATGTAGAATTGGCATTACTATTGATATACTTAATTGTTTTGAAAATATTTACTTTAAAAAAAAAACCAAAACACATTTATGCTAAATTTAAATATTTCGTTTAAGGTTACTGTGCAATGTACAGTATCCCAGATGCTAGAGTAATTGACAATGAAAAGTACGACTGTACAAAATACACCCCTCCATGTCCAACACGCTACTTATCATCAGAGGCTTACAAATGTAAGAAAGGTTTATAACGGAAGCTTTGCAGTATGTAATGTGATTTTTTTCGACTATTACTAAGAAAGAAAACCCTTCTTGTGATTAAAGGTTAATAATAAAAAAATCTTTTTACTTTATCTTTATATACAGATAGTGTTTGCTATGAGATTGTACGACCAGCAGTAACACTGTTTATGACACAAGTCAGCAAAGCCGAAGAAATCTCAACGCAGAGGTAAAAAAAAACATTACTTGCAACTGTCCAAAACACATACTCAGTACATGTAGATATAAGAGAATTCAATATCTACCAGGGTTGATCCAAAAGTTCGTGGAATTTCTTTCTAAAATTTTACTGTGATTTGATAAAAGCGAACAATAGGCATATTTATAAAACAGAGTCATGTCCAATTGGAACACGTGATTCTACAAAATGCTGCCATTTTCTCCATTTTCCCACAAGAAAAGCTTGAATATCCTCTCGCACCAATTTATCTTCATTATTCACTCATATTTCAAAATACCCCTATCTTTTCATATGATGTTTCGATTTCAGTAGGACTGTGAAGAACAGTACGTCAGCCGAAAACTACCATTAACGCTTTTAAATTGTCTAGACGGATATGCACTCAAAGCAGAGACTCAAAAAGGCGACCACAACTTTATTTAACGTACATGAAAGTTCTTTTTTTATTCAATTTCTCACGCCACCTTAAAACCAGTAACTAAATGCATTTTCCCCAGTCTGTGTCAATTATATAGTAACGAGTCCAAGATAGAGTGATCCCGGAATTTTCATAAAACTTATGACTTAACCGAATTTTGACGTCGTCTTACAACCTATATAAAGAGGACCAATAAATTATCAGCAAACAAACAAAATATCAAGTAAAATCAGTAAAATTGACACACAGAGGTTAATTAGAAAAGATCAAGCAATCGTAATAATGACATAATTTTTGTTTTCTATAACACATACCTTTAAGACGATTTCATTCTCATTTCCAGTATTAAAAATTAATATGATAATAAACGCGTTGTCTCCCCCGCATTTCCAAACATCCGTTTCTATGGCAACTGCCATAGCGTTACTATAATAAATATCTAAAATATCTTTTTTATATAAATATTCAACAAGTGTCTCTATACTCATTTGAAATTTTCAGCCAAGTTCACCATTAAATAAGTAAAATATAAAGAAATTCCACGAACTTTTGGATCATCCCTCGTATATACATTTTAAAACTGTTACATATTCATATAATGATATCAAAGAACTCACTCGAATTTTAAGAACCTTAGACAGCAGAGAACTGATGTTAATTATGAGCAGGGTTCTTCATCGTTTTAAATTTTACTGTGTGGTAGAGTTTACGCGAAGCACTTAAACGTCGCGTTGTTTTCGCGGTCAAACTTGCAACTGAATCACTATTTATTATAAGAAAGTAAAATTGTTGATATATAACGCGGTCTTTGCTTTAGACTATGTCCAGCACATGTGCTAAACAATTTTTCTCCGTAATTCAGTCATGTCAGAGTTTGTCAATCAGAATTTGATGAAACACTTACCCCATTATAAATGTATTACTTTTGTTTATCTTGTGCGTTTTTGTTAAATATTTGGACACTCAATTTTATATATTTTATAACATAAATGTTGAATATTTTTATTTAAATTGTTTTAACTCCGCAGAAACGACCGGCAACTTCAAACTGTCATATCAAATAAGCCACTGCCTCATGGAGGCAAGTAATTAACCGTTACATAAAAGTGTGGAAAAAATTATTTGTCTTTATTTTTCACTCAGGCGAGTGTCTGGGAGATAATTGATTATACAAGCTATGAATGTTTGGATTTTCTGATTATAACAGATCTTACTGTGTCGGCAAAATTTTTACTGTGTCGCACGCATAAAATTGAATCGTTACTGTGTCGGAGAAAATTTTAATGTTTCTGGACCAACACAGTAAAACAGTTCATGGAAAACCCTGTTATGAGTCAAAAGCTAATGGATTGTTTTGGACAATTAATAAAATAAAATGATAAAATATGAAACTGTTAAAACCTCAATAAAAGATATTTTTCAGCACTGAAGAGGTCACGCCTACAGCCAAATTCACCTCAGTGCATTTGATACTTACAATCATCATTCCAGCTATATTGCTTTTAGCATTATTTGGAGGATTCGTCTTTCTTCGTAGAATCATCTCAGTCAAAAGGGAAAGTCGAGAAAGTATGTGTCATTCTGTTCCTTTTCTTTTCATTCTGCCAATCCCTTGAGGAAAATAGGTGATCTAAAGTAATGTAAAATATGATGTCAAGTCACTGTAAACTTGAGCTGATACACATGATGGGGAAAGTGTTATAATCTATCTTGACATTCCTATCAATATAATTTTTTTTTTGGCGTTCTTGTTTCATTCAAGTGTCGGGATTGTATTTTACATTGTATAATCTCAAGTGTGCTGTTATGAGGATAAATATTTAAATAGCCTTATTTCTTTTGCATGTTCAATATGCACATATTTAAAGAAAAAAAAAAGATTTTTTGAATCATATGTATACATGTATATTTGACTGGCACATGTAGTTTAAAAGGATAGATTTAAGATACCCTCAACCCACCCCGTGTAAATCTACAAGAGAAGTATGTCCTCTGCATGAATTGTTTTTTTTGCTCGAAGGTTTAATATTACTTGTATTAGTCCCTTTCCGGGGAAACCGAAATAGGTTACCTCTGAGTCCGCCCGCCTAGCTGTCTGTCTCATGTCAGTTTGTCCCACTTGGTTTCCCGCATATTTCTCCTAAATGCTTGCAGACATTGGGCTGATTTTTTGTATGTAAGTGTATCCAAATGAAATATAGATTAAATTCCAATTACGTTCAGCGTCATTGATTTTTGAGGAATTATTGCATTTTCTTTTTTTTTTGTGATTGGAATAACGATCAGGTTTGTGATGCTCTAAATTTATGTTACAAACGAGCTTGTATCCTAAAGAGAAAAGGGTAACCCGGTAGTGAACATGTACCGCTTATATTATGCAATACTCCCAGAATGTTTGCTTATCCTATTTTGTACATGTACATATTGTTATAAAGAGTGGGAAATATAGCCTTCTTTTTTGTGAAAGTTGAGTTTCTCCTAAAATATTTTGGAAAGAAGTAAAATTTAAAGTTGGCCCTAGCACTTTATATGTACCAAAGATCACGATAAAATGACGTATGAAGAAAAAAACTTTTCAGAATCATTCTGTTTTGCAGTTCTCCTCATGATTTTTTTTGCAACATTTATAATCTCAAAATTGGCCGTCACGGGATCAACAAAGTCATGTGGCATCACAAAAATCCTTTTCGATACTTTATTAAACGCTTATCACAAAATGACAGCCGATTCACACATATACAACATATTGAAAGTAAAATCTAGCCTAAAATAAAATATATATTTTCAACGCTTTTCAAGTCTTCGGACAGCGTAGTTAATGGAATCTAATTTTATCTGTGCTTCAAGCTTAACTTAAATTATACACTCCTATACATGTATGCTTACAAAGTGAAACAAAAAGAAAAACATAGAGTATCAGACGCAGATTTAGCAAAAAAGAAGATGAAAGTAATATTTTACACAACAAAAGAAATAATAAATCGATTAATCAATAAAATGAATTATGAAAAATTCTAGAATGAAACAGTAGTTGTAAATTGTAAACAAAATGACCCTTTCCTGCGTTTTTGTTTCACACTATTCTTTGCTAATATATTTTTAAATACAAATTTAAACCCCAAACCTTAGAATAAAAAAATAAAAATATATATACATGCATCTTTAATTTTGACAAATGATGTGGCTTTTATTTTCTTATTTTTGACAAACCGATCAGTAGGTAGTGAGTTTGATCTTTTTTTATTTGTTTCAGAACTATATCTTATGATTTAACAAAATCATAGGAAGATTTAGAAATTCATTAGAACAATATAGAATAATATAGAACGAGAGATATGATAATGGTGAAGAAAAGATTATGATAACTAATATTTTTATAAAATCTTCCCTTATGCAGATGATATGCATGTGGATAATAACGAAATGGAAAATGAACCACTGAATGCAGCAACTCCAGGTACGTTGTATCAAACATTTTATATATTCATTACTCTACGATTATAGAAAATATACATAAAAATTTAAAAGATACATGAATTTGGATTTTTTTTTTATAAAAGTGCATTATTAATTATCCAGGTTCAATCAAGGGTGTACAGTGATTTAACCCAGGTTTTATTCATACACCCTGAGGCCGAAGGCCGGGGTAAATCGCCGTAAACCCTTGACTGGATCTGAATAAAGTATTTATTTCCTATATCCCCAAAAATTCTTTGTAAACATAAGTCAAATCAACTGTATCTCAGCCTATCGATAATATTTACTACGTAGTATTTACATTCAATGAAATCTACGACGTTCAAATACACGCGAAACCCTGTCACCGCGCGGAAGAATACGAAAACAACTGAGGGTTTAAATTACTTTTTCACTTCTTCCCTCGCAATGGTTATTTGTGTGATTAAACTTTCCAACGTCAAAAACAACTCATACGTCTATTAAGCACACAAAGGCTAAGTTAAATATCGTAGCAGTTAACATAGCAGTTAGGTGTTAGATATCTATCTCAATTGAACGGACAGCTAGCTTAACCGCTAAGTGTATATTTCGGATGGAATTATATCTGTAAAAACGTATGGATCCAAAAGCGAAAATGTACATGCAAATTTACATTTAAATCTCTCAGATATAAAATATAACATTTTTTTGTTAAAATCATGTGTTGCAAAATTGTAAGTAAGAAATCCATCTTGGATTCGGTACTCAGCGTTAGATATTTATGGTAGCTCTACCAACATTTAGGCTAGGTTAGATTTCCGTTCGAGACCGCGGCTTTAAGTAGCGGCTAGGATGTTGAACAAAACCCAGTTCTGAATGCCGCATAATTCATAATAGAGATTAACGATTTAAGGTTTCGTCAAAGGTCAACATGTTCAAAAAATTATTTTTACAATAGCCCCAAAACTCTGCGAGGTATAAAGTTAAAACTTTTACAGTTTATAAAGTTTTCATTGCTTAATAGATAGAAAGTATCACATGATAAACTAGATACTTGGAAAAAATATTAATTGAGAAAAAGTGTTCTTAAAAATGCATATGTTTTCAATAAATACATGTAATTAATTCCGTGCTTTTAGTGAAAACCATCATTGCAGAAACAAAATATGTTTATCAATGAAGGGCAAGTTGGACTTGGATAGCCTCTCGAAAGTTGTTTTCATTGTTTATTTTGTCCAAATTTTAAGACTTGAAAGTGAAAGTACATTGCAAATGGCGGATTCTATAGGGGTCTTGTCTTTATACATGTCATGCTTTCAATAACAGCCTTTCAGAGACCATTCATGTCCAACTTGCCCTTCAATGATAAACATATATTAATTTTGCAATGTTGGTTTTCACAAATAGGACAGAATTAAGCAGGTGCATTTTTTTAAAATATGTACATTTTCTGATACAATTTTTCTAAAAACAAAATCTGTTTTAAAATATTTGTTATCAAGTGATACTTTCTGTCTATTAATCAATGATAAATTCATAAACTGTAAACGTTTTGACCTTATACCACACATATATAGTTTGGGAGCTATTGTAAAAATAATCTTTTTGACATGTTGACCTTTGACGAAACCTTAAACAATTATAAAGATAGAAAATTTGAGAATGTTAATATAAGCATTAGATTCTTTTTTTTTTTTTGATGTTGTCAGTATTATAACACCCATGGTGGTGCCGACAAATTATATACAGCGTGTTAGCAATGCTTAACTAAAATGTATTGTGACGTCATGTTGTTTGCTTTTTATTATACGAGGGTTGTCCCAAAAAGTCGTAGACAATGTTTATAACTTTTTAAACATGCAATCAATACTAACCCAATTTTGCATAGACATAATATATATATTTAATGTTCCTTGAAATTATGAATTATTAAGAGGCAGTCTATCGAAAAACCAGGCAATCGGTGGCATATCGCATGTCATGGATTTTAATTTTCCATGTAGACTTATTAAAGCAAGTGTTTACACATGATAACATACAAAAAGAAATAGAGCTCTTTACTCCTATTTTTGGTAAATTCTTAATTTTAAGTGCAAGAAGGTCAACATTAGGGTAAAAAAAAATATTTTGTTTTATATGCAACAGATACTCAAAAGCTGGATGTGTCCATGAATATTATTTATAGCATAGACTCTTATCTTTATTTTTTTTTAATGAACAAGACTCCAATTTATATTTCTTTACAAAAATTACTTGGTCCATATTTTAGTTAAGCTAGTAACTTTTTGGATTCAGTATCCAATTTTCAATACGATATAAAACCCAAGACATTACAGGCACATAATTTTTTTTCTGATGTTATTATGAATACAAGGTACACACTTTTGAGTCACTCAATAAAATTAGTTGAAACAGGTAGAAAGAAAAAAAGGGGTCAAAATTACCTTTTTTTCTTTAATAATTTTCCCAAATGAAACCGATGCCGACTGGAATTATATAAAAAGGAAAATGCTATAATTGTAATGTTAATTTGGGCTCTTTTGTTGTAATATGATTGAAACATAACTTGATTTATTTTCTTACATGTTATATAGGTGGCAGGTGCCTTAATTAATTTGATTAATTTATTAATTTTATTTAATTCTGATCGGGATCAGTTTTATTTCAATTGGGATCGGTTTATACCGAAAAGTTAGAAAAATTTCCTAAAGTTGGCTCGTCATTTTAATTTATCAGAAAAATATGCTTGTCTTTTATTTCTTTTCAGTGACTTTACTGTTTTTAAAAGGAGTGTAACCATGGATTCAAATGTATATATTATTTAAATTACTAGTGTCCTTTACGTACATGAAAATTATATGCAAAACATCTGCTTGATTTCTTGATGGTTCTTGATACTCGGTATTTAAAAAAAAAGTATTATTGTGTACATGCATTATGCAACAACTGAGAGCAGATAGCTTTCTTGTGTTAATATTTATCTTACTTCCAGGTAAAATTTCTTTTCTTATTTTCTCAGGAATTTATTAAAGAATTATTAAAGTGTTAAATTCTATCAGTGGCGAAATTAAACTTGGCTAAATACAAAAAAGATTTTTATGTGTACATGCTCGACTTTATCTAATTTGTTTTTTACCTGTCATCTGTAAAGCCTTTCCTCCTATATTTCCTCTTTTACAAAATTTAATTTATATAAATAAGAAATAAAGTTAAATTCGATAAATTGCAATAAAAAAACATGGGGCGGGGAGGGGGGTTGGATTGGGCATTATGAGATCATTATTTAAAAAAAAAACTGGTTTCATGAACGTGAAAACATTTTACAAATGGCCAACATAGTCACATATTTAAACTCCATATTAAATGAGTTTGTGATTGTTTCAATTGACAAATTGAAAAATAAATAAATAATAATTATTATTAAAATGAAACGTTTCACTAAAACATCTTCCGTTTTAGTGCCATATTATTGTTGGGAGTTCAGCAGTAATTTAGCTCAATAAATTTATTTTATATCTTATTTTTCAGGGTTTTCTTTTTCCATTTTTAATCGAACCGCAGATTGTTTATTTTGATTTAACTGTATAGATAAATATATTTAAGTTTTTACAAATATCATGAAGTAAAACATTTCAACTTCGTTGAGTTAAATGTTGCGTAAATATAAAGCATTCATCGTTGATTCCCAATTCTATAAATGTTCATTAAAATTCTTCATTAATTATTTGTACGCAAATCCTAGTATATCAGTTATAAAAAAATATTTCTTAGACATTACTTATTAAAACGGACTTGTTTCAATACATCTGGCTGAGACGCCGCCCGTGTAAAAAAATACATTTTGATGTTAAAATATTATTTAACATATAGAACAAGGCACTCTGAAGAGTAATTAAACAGAAAAGGGGGATAAGAGCCATGTATGGTAAGTGTCTCAATTGGCCCCTTAAATTGAATATCTTAACTTTACCCAAAATTTAAATAATGTCTCAGTAATCGGATAACAATATTAAAAAAAAGTAAAAAGAAAACACAAAAATCCCCAGTTAAGCTTTAGCGCTTTCATTTTCAATCTTCAGAAGCTTACAATAGTATCATAGTAACAATGATTATGACGTCATGTTAAGCGGAACGTTAAATGTCTATTATGACGTCATAGATACAATATGACAAAAGTACGGGTAAATCACAAGTAATTTATAAAACACTATTAAGTTTTGGCTGAAAAATACTAAGAAAATGTTTTTCTTTTTCCCCGTCTCTGTATATCAGTGGCACAACTGAATTTATAGCAAGGGAAAATTTTGAATCGTTTTTTACCACACGCCTCCAGGTGCGAACTTAATTGAATTTGTCTGTATTCGGGTGTATAAATGTGTTGCTTATGTTCACGTACCGGGCACGGAGAGTGTTGCCGGTTTCACCAATATAATATTCCTTGCATCCAGGACATGTGATGACATAAATGACATTTTTTGTATCGCATGACATGTTTTCTTTAACTCTAAATTCACGCCCATTGAAATTATAGCTGATATCCCTTCTGTAATGTATTCACATGTACCGCATCGAGGGTTCTTACACATTGAGACTGTATTAGTATGGTCGTTGAATTTGGAAGAACAAAGTATTCTCTTTAGGTTTTGGGGTTGGCGTTTACTGTTGATAAAACGACAATTCTTGTATACGTTTTTCGTTTGTTCGTCCTCTTTAAGTACGTTCAATTCATAAATAATTGAACTCACGTTTTCATTTCTCGGGTTATGCGTGTGCACAAATGGAATTATTTCAACGTCATTTGCATGTCGTATATTTAAAAGTAACTGACTTCTATCGCACTCCTTGGCCTTCTTTATACCATTATCTACAAGTTGTTCTGAATATTTTAGGTTTAATAAATACAATTTTAATTCCTCCAGTCGAATATCCCTCATATTGGTATTACTCACAATGGTGCATATCCTTCTTGCGAGGTTATATGGTATTGCTTTAGTGTGATGGGGATGGCTCGGCTCGATCCAAAATGCAGATATTGGTGTGTGTCGGTCGGTTTATAGTAAATATCCGTATTTAAGCTGGTATTATCCTTTGTTACAAGAACATCGAGGAATGGCATTTGCAAATCATCTGTTTCCATCGTGAATTTGATATCCGAATTCATTAA